GTATACGTGTCAGATATACCTACATATATAATCAAACTAGAAACTGATTAGATTGTATATTTTATATTGACTAGTCTTTTAAACCAAACTGAAGCCTACCTAAATAAAATGCTTTTCCATTTTATTTTATGTTCTAATAAAAAATATTTGATATAAACAGTCTAACATGTGAAACTGCAATTTTATAACAGAAGAGCAGGAATGAGAATAGCTGAGAATTCGAAACTGAAGGTACATTTGATAAATTTCTCTGAACCTCATGTAGAATACACACAAACAGTACTGAGACTCATCACAGTAGAACATCTGAAAACCAAGGCTAAGTATTTTAAAAGCAGCCAGAGTAAGATGCATCAACATTAAGAGCAGGGTTTTAAACAGGAACTATAGATGCAGGGAAATATATTAAAAGTTGGGGGGGGGGAAAAACCCAAAACCCTGACATTGAGTTTTAAATCCAGTGAAAATATCCCTTCCAAAGTTAAAATGAGAAATGCATTTTTAAGGACATGTAAAAGCTGGGGAAATTACTCATAAGCAGGCCCATATTGTAAAAGATACAGTAGAAAATTCTTCAAACTGAAGGAAAATAGTCTCAGATGAAAGCCTAGTATCACAAGAAGGAATAGAGAGCATTGTTACTTCTAGATCAATTTTTATGATTTGTATTCTTAGTGAAGAGGTAACACAGGATATAAAATGGTGTAATTCAGAATGATTAAGATGTTTCCATAGCTCATTATTTCTGATTAAATAAATGCTGGGGTCCTTAGCCTAGTTCACTAGCTGCTCCATGGTTTGGCCCCCACCTAGTATTCATGCTCCTAGAATCAGCCAGTAGGAACTACATGTAGCTCCCCTAGCACAGCACGTTATTCATACCACCTTAGGGCTACCTGAGACTTCTCTACTGGAGTCTCATCCCCCGCCTTTTAAAAAAAAAAAAAAAAACCCACACAACCTGGCTCACAGCAACTTAACTTTTAACATCTAGCTCAGGTATACTCTAGTTTCCCTGAAAAGTCATCTGACTTTATGTGTTCCTATGGTATGCAGTACTTATCTCTATCATAGCCCTTGTTGAACATGATTCACTTATTTCCCCACTAAGATGTCAAGATCTCTGAAGGCTGGGTATCTACATACTTCTGTGTCATCAGCATTCAGCACAAATGCTACTATATGCAGTATCTATCCTAGGAAAAGCTAAATACAAAAATGAACAAACATTTCAATATCTGCTTGTCAAAGACCATCACAGAGTATATACAATGTGCTTCAATCCTCCAGAACTTTATTTCTAAATGGCACACCAGTACCTCAAACTTAACACATTGCAAACATTTTACTTCTACTGTGTGTCAAACTCAGTTAATGTCTCAATATCTGAAGACACTCATTGCAGCCAACCTGGATTCATTTTGACTTCTGCTCATTCCTCAACCTTGATATGCCCTTCCTCACTTCGGTCTTTTCTCCTACTCATTCTTTAAGTCCCAGCTCAAATGTGACCGATTTCTTCCCTATGCTTCAGTCAGAATGAATCAGACTTTTTTCCTGGCATTTTCACAGTCTCATTGGCGGTGTCATGTCAATAATTTGCATCTGTTTCTTTCAAAAATTAATAATTTGCATGTTTCACAGGTTGGCGAAGCTTTTAAAAGACAATTTTCCACTTGCAGAGAAGGCAAGTAAGAGGAAATACTTTCAAAGCACAGAAGTAAAGAAAAACCAAAGAAACCAAAAGAAAACATCTTTCAGAAACTATGGGGAAGTTGCAGGAAATTTTTATAAGAAATCCAGAGGAAAAAAACTCCTTGAAAATTAGTCTTAAGTATTTTGGTTATTTCTGCCCACACATTAACCCCACCTCTTCACCCACACATCTTCCCTGCCCATATGAAGAATTCATCTGGCTTGCTTCTGCCACGAATTACACAAGAGATTCTTCATAAAGGCAGGAACTTTCACCACTGAAGAGAGGTGTTTGCTGCTCTCATTGTTAAGCTCTCTGGCTTCTTTCTTCTACAGCTTTTGCATATTTTCTGTTACCTATTCATCTTGCCTCAAAATCCGACTCCGTTTTCCATCTTGGTTTCCTCCTGTATGCATATCGTGTATTTGGAGTATCTTTACAACTTCGTCCTATGTGTCTGGATTTTACTGGTTCTCATTTCATGTCTGTGGCTCACAAGGACGAGATAAGTACTTCCCATATTCACAAAGGTGAATCATCCTGGTGTAAAGGCTTTCGGTCTGTCATCCCATTTATCAGACACCGAGTTTAGAGCTGTCAGGAAGTTTAAACCTTCCCCTTTGGAGTTTAAGCAATTGAGCTTATTGAAGTCAATTGGAAATAAGATTGACAAGGAACATACAAATTCATGTACACATGTGCACGAAAACCCCACAAAAT